CTCTTCCATCTGTCCCCAGTGCGGTAAAGAACCATTGTCCTTTCACACCCTCCAAGTGTAGGCAGAGAACATTCATCCCTTTACACCCTCCAACTATAGGCAAAATACCTTTGACTATTCACACTCTCCAAGTGTCCATAGAGAACCGTCATCCTTTCACACCCTCCAAGTGTTGTTAAAGAACCATGGACTATTCACACTCTCCAAGTGTTGGTAGAGAACCGAATCTTCTTCAAAGATCTCCTCATGAGTAATCTAGAAAGATAAGAGGAAGAGTGAAAAATATAAATTACATAGAGATCCTTATATTTGAGTAACTTTGTGAACCCTTCACACTCCACTAGCAAGAAATCTCTCTCAAACACTCTCTCACACTCTCTCCTTTAATTGCTCCTGAAAAATCATCAAGTAAAGATTTTTACGTCAGTTTATAACTGACCTTTTATATAAAAGACACAAAAAACCATCCAGAAAACTAAATTTTTTAATTTTGAGTGTACATGATCATACAGTACGATCAGGTTTCATATGTATAAATAGTTCAAATACTATTACATATGAACCTATTATGATTCATTATGAAATCATTTAATACCTGCTCATCATCCGGTACGAACTAAGTTCATCCAGGATGAATAGTTAGAAATTTTCAAAATTCGTTTATATGAAACATCGAGATGAAATGGGACCTCGCATTTTCATACACTGTAAGGCATGTACGAACTGGGTTCGTACAGTATGATCCATACATAGAAAAATTATTTTTATGCGACCTGGAACCCGAGAAGATTGTACTCATGAAAGCATATATGAACTGGGTTCATACAGTATGATCCATAATTAAAAAAATTATTTTTACTTGACTTGGAACCCGAGAAGATTGTACGAGTTGGAGTAGCTCCAGTAGAAGATAGGATTAGAGAAAGTCGCCTTAGATGGTTTTGGTCACATAAAACGGCGGCCTTGCGATGACCCGGTTAGGAGAGTAGAGGTTTTAGATTTGACTTATGTTAAGAAAGGTAGGGGTAGACCTAAAAAGACTTGGTTAGAAAATATTAGGAATGACCTTTCTTTATTAGATTTAAACGAGAATTTGACTTTTAATAGGACACAATGGAGAAAAAGGATTCATGTAGCCGACCCCACGTAGTGGGATAAAGGCTTGATGTTGTTGTTGTTGTTGTTGTTGTTCTCTTTAATTTACAAGGCTTCAAGCAGTCTATCCAAATGAGTTTTTCTTTTGTAGTTTCTATGATTCATTGGTGTTGCATCATTGTTCATCATGTTATCCTTTTTCCGATTTTTTGTAATTCTTATTTTTCTCTAGCAATTCTTCCTAAGTTCCCTTATTGTATACCTATCATTTTCTGATTATAATATTATCTATAAAATAAAGAAAAAAATGACTTGCTCCAGAAGTTACACAAAGTAATTTTTACACCTATTATCTCACTACATATCACTTAAAATGTCTCTCTTCGTGAGGATATGAACAAGCTCCTGCTTGCTATGTGTCCTAGCTACCAATCACTGTGCTTAGATTGCTTGTCATGCTCATGCACTTCCCTTGTTGCTCCTTATTGTCCTTGTTGAGCTTTTTTCATTCTTGCTCTACCAAGCTCTTTTTGTGCGCAACATGCAATTCATTGTGCTAGTAAGGGCGCTTGTGCATGCTATATCATCTGATAGCTCTTGGCGGGTAGCTACCATGCTCTTCTCCCTCATGGATAGTTTCTTTTCTTTCCGGCTTTCTCCCTCATGGATAGTTTCTTTTCTTTCTGGCTTTAGATCCTCCTCGCTATCTTGCACCACTCATTGTCTATCTCTTTCAGCAACTCAATTCCTTCTCAGTTGTTTCCTTCTTTGTATGATCCTATGTTCATGGTGGTTCCTCAAATTCAGCCACTTTATCCACCTCCTATGCCGATGGATCCTATTGTCTTGTAGGATTTTTCTTCTACTTATATTTTATCAAATATTATGCCTATTTTTACTCATAATTTTCATTCTTTTGCAGAAGCTATGGATGGATTTTTTGACTCAGTCTATTCATTTTCCTTTTCATTTTTATAACGGCTCAATTCCACAAAACATACTCAAACATCACCATATCAACGCAAGTCTGCACTCATTTTCTTTGAGGATGATATTTTTGAGCTAGTTAGGTTGCTCTTTCTTTGTTTATTGCAGGCAAATTCTTGTTGGATCATCCAAACGTGGATCTCATTTGTAATTTTGTATGAGAATTATATTACTCTGATATGTCGGTTTGCCGGCCCAGATGGGGCCGGCACTTGTATACAGGAGGCGGGTCAAACCGCCTCCTTCCTACACTGCCTAAGGGAGGGGCCCACGCCCAATTTGTTTGGATTTAATTAATTAAAAAGTTTTGATATCTTTTGAATTAAATAAATACTATCTTATATTAGGAAAGTGTTATTAATTAATTAAAAAGATTTGATATCTTTTGAATTAATTAGATATTATCTTATATTAGGAAAGTGTATTTAATTAATTAAAAAAATTTGATATTTTTTGGAATTAATTAAATACTATCTTATATTAGGAATTTTTTAGGAGGCGGAGAGGGCTATTTAAAGGGCATGAAGGGGTTAAGGCTAGGCATGCTTTGGTTATTATTTTCTTGTAGTCTCGTTGGCGTTTTTGGGCTCTAGACTCTTGTCTAGAGATTTGAGAGAGATGATCCTCCTCTCGAATAGAGGATCAATTGTATCTTTTCTTCTAGCTTATTTTTCTTTGAGTATTTAATCAAGTTCTATTATTTTCTTAGTTGTTTCATCTCTGATCTTGGGTATTCTCGCTATTTTTACTAATTTCGCGTTAGGGTTGCTTGCGAACTTGATGCAAGCAAAATGAGAGTAAAGAGACAAATTGGAGAACACCAGGACAAGACTTAAACCAAACTCGATTCATATGAAGCTTGCAAACATCCAAACAAACTTAGGATAAACAAAAGCCAAATCGAACCAAAACAAAATAAAAACATAAAAATGCTATCCTTAGTAAAACCGTCTAGCGGTCTCCTCATATGCAACGAAAGTAGGAAATTTAAGAAAAATGTGCTTAGGCTTGCAAACCAAGGGTCCTCCATTGCAAAAGAGTCCAACGTCCTTTCCAAACTCCTCCGACAAATGTCTCCAAATTTCAGCCAGCATACACTTCCAAAGCTCAAGAAGAAGGATACAAGTGGAGTGGAACTTGCGTTGAGAAGAAGGGGTTAGAAGCCAAGACGAAATAGAGAGGAGGAAAGGGGGGATGGAACAAGCTCTCAAGCTTTTCCAAGAAGAAACCCTCAGGTTTTTGTAGAGATTTTTTTTTTCAGATTTTCAAAAACCTTTTTCATGCCAAAACATCTCCATTTTATAGGCAAAAGAAGGTAGTCAAACAGCCATTCCACCTCCAACCAAAACCAATCAGGTTTGGGGAATAAAAGGCCAAAAGACACCAAATAGAAAGCCAAAAGACAGCAAAACTGCACAGAAAACAGGGAGCCAAGCCACGAAAAGCCCCACCCAGCAGCCACTGTAAACCCAACCAACAAGGGATCCGAAGAGCCAGCACAGAAAACAGGTAGGTAATTCACGGGAAATAGCCATGTGGAGGGAAAACGAGGAGGGCCACGAGAACAGCAATAGCCAGCAGAAACCGAGAAGACAAGGGGAAGAAGAAGAGGCACAAGTCCACTCCACAACACTGAGCTTGAATAATTGCATACCTTTATGAATTTATGAGCTAGGGAGTGCATTAAATCTCCAATCATTGAGCTAAACTTAAGCTCAAACATTTATGAGCTAACACCAAGTAGAATTCCAGCATTTTGAGCTCAACACCAAGCAACCAAAGCCCACCCGAGAGCAGCCACCACACCAAACCAAAATCAGCAAGCAGCCCAAGGACGAAATGGACTCAAAAGCAAGCAAATCCAAGGCTTTCCATGCCTAGCACTTTCCTACCATGATCATTGGAAGCCCAACCATCTTAGGATAGCTTAAAAAAATATAAAACACAACTAATATTGTTCCAAATACAATAAAAAAAATAACTAAAAATATTGAATGCATCAGAACTCAAGTAAATCCGATAGGATTACTTGCGAACTCAAGTACTTCTTATCAAATTGGTATCAGAGCAAGTTGTGGGATCGGTGGAGGGCTGATTTCGACAAATTTCAGCGGTGAATATTTGCCTGGAAGAAAGAGGGATTGCTGTTTTTGGAGTTTCAAATCCAGAATTTGTGATTTTACAAACTCCGGATTACGATGGCGGGCAAAAAGGTGGTTACTCTGGAAGAAAGGCTTGAAGGGGATATGAATCAAATCAAAAGATGGTGGAGGAAAGGATTTCCTCCATGGAAGGATAAGTCGCCGATCACCGAGACATGATGAATAAGATGTTAGAAATTCAAAACCAAACGACGACGTGCGTGGAAAACGGAGAAGGAAAAAGTACAAATTCGGAAATTCATAGGGAGGAAGATGAGGTGGAAATCATGGAAGGAGAAAGAAAAAGACCCCATCTGGAGCCTGTCCAAAGGTATGAAAGAGGGGGTGGACATGGGGAACGCCAGGAGGAATACTATGGTTGTCGAGGTGCTGATTTTGATCACAATGAGGGATTTTGAAGGGGGCTTGGGCTATGACAGAGCAAGAGAAGACCGAAAAACATGGGGTACACCTAGCACTTGGGAGAGAGAAAACTATAGAAGATTCCGGGCAATGGGGGCGACTAGAAGGTGAGGAAGTTGAAGATGCCCATATTCGAAGGAGAAGATGCGTTTGGGTGGATTTACAAGGTGGAGCGATACTTCGCCGTCAGTGGGCTAACGGAGGAGGAGAAGCTGACCGTAGCCGGATTATGCTTGGAAGGAAAAGCCCTGTCGTGATATCATGTAACACCCCACATTACCCTTGACTAGTATAACAACTAAAACATATTATTTTTCCTTCCATAAAGTTTTTGAAAATAGTTAACCCCTTGCATAACTATACGACATATCTCATAAACCTTCATTGATACATTAACTGAAGTACTTCACTTTTTTAAACTTCCACAACATAGTTACAGAGCCACTAAGGAACATCCAAACAAAATACTTCAAATGAGTGTTTACATACCCTTAGATAATCCTTACTAACAAATATAGAAATAACACATAATATTGAGGTACTTGAAATCTAATCAGCAACAACTTTATCTTTTCCTTTACCTGTAAAGACAGCCAGAAGAAAGTTCTGGACTACTATCTACCGTCTAGCGCGGCTTTAATTTTAATAAATTATGATTAATAAATTATAATTAATGATAATTAATTATTATAATTAATTAAAATAATTAATCATATTTATCTTTAATTAACTATAATTAATTAATATTAATTAAATTTAATTAATTAATAAAAATTAATTATGATTAATTTAAAAAAGTATATAATTAATTAAAGTTAATTTTAATTAAATTATTATAATTAATTAACATTAATTATAATATTTAATAAAAAATAATTTTAATTAATTATACTAACTATAATTAATTAAAATAATTAAAGTTAAAATTAATTAAAATCAATTTTAATTAAAATAAACTAATCACTCTCTCCCTTTACCTCTCTGGTTTTGACAGATCCACGGGATTTGGCCGGAGACGAGTGCGGCGAGTATCGAATTTACAGCGGGGATTAAGTCGGATCTACGTTAAATCCAGCCAAACGATTTTTTTGTGTGCGCGTTAAATCCCGGCGATGGGTAAATCCCGGATTTAAGGACTTATGGCTTAAATCTCGTATTTACTGAATCCCTCAGTTCGATGGCTTTTATGGGATTTGGCCGAGAATCGTGAAAGGGAGAAAGTTACCTTCACTACTTGTGAGCTCCCGTGGTTGCTTCCGATCAAACTGTCGTTCCTTCCGATTCGACGGGAAGGGAAAGCCGTGGAAGAGGCGAGGTCGACCAGCAACGGCGAGGCCGAAGCAGCCGGCAAATTCGCGGGATTTGGCCGAAGTAACGTACGGGGGGAAGAAAGTAATCTTCACGGAGGGCGTGCTCCAGTTCTCGTCCCGATCAAAATGTCGTAACTTTCCTTCCGATAGAAAGGGAAAGTAGGAGAAGGAACCAAGTCGACCAGCCACGAATGGAGCAGGAGAAGCGAGCTCGGCTTCTTGCTTCCGATCAAAATGCGTAACATCCGATCTTTCAGGAACCGTCGCCGAAGGAGTGAAGTCGTTCAACCACGAAGGAGCCGAAGCTTCACAGCGAGCAAGCTCCGTTCTTGTCTCCGATCAAACGTTGGAATGGAAGTCCAACAGGAAGGGCGAGTCGTCGAGCGTAGCCAAGTTGCAGGTGGGAGCCGGGGAGGAAATGAGAGCGGGAGCGAGAGAGAATGAGAGCAAGACGTCCCGAATGCTTCGTTTCCTCGTCATTTAACGATGAGTAGCGACGTACAAAGGTATGGCGAGATGCGACGTCGTCATGCAAAGAGCGGTGCTGTATCGTGCGTAGGCCGTGGGCGTTGGGCTCGAGCGACGTGGTCGGACAGGTATGATGATTTTTTTTTCTTATTTTTTGTTTCGTTTTCTACAGAGAAAGGTCAACAGCCTATCAGGAACTGGAGGGAATTCAAAGATTGCATAATAGAACCGACTGGGGAGGAGATTTCTATGAGCAGTTCTTTGCTCTGACGCAGGAGGGATCGGTAGCAGACTACAGGGAGTAGTTTGAGCACCTAGCTAGCAGGGTGGAGCGACTCTCATATACAATATTGGAGGAAAATTTCATGAAATGATTGAAGGCGGATATTTGAGCAGCAGTGAAGGTTTTGATGCCCCGTGACTTGGGGGAGGCCATGAAGTTGGCCCCACTGGTGGAAAATCAGAGGAATTTGAAGAGGAGAACCAAGAGTAGCAACACTGTGGGCACTTACTAGCACCTAAAGGTCCTGTAACAGGAGGGAGTCGAGAGGCCGCCAAGGAGAAGACAGGAGGAAGCGGGGGAAATTTCAAGCGGTTGATGGAGAAAGAGATGCAAGAGAAGAGGACTAAGGGGTTGTTCTTCAGGTGCGATGAAAATTACATGTCAGGGCATCGGTGCAAGGACCAAACTCTTCAGGTTCTCACCGTCTGTGATGACGAGAAAACTGAGGGAGGTGAGGAGACAGAGGAGGAAATGGAGGAGAATCTACACTTGGATATGGTTGAGGTTTCCCTGAACTCAGTGTTAGGATTCATTACGAATGACACCATGAAGGTAAAGGGAGAGATAGAGGGCAGGAAGGTTGTGGTGCTGATTAATAGTGGGGCTACTCACAATTTCATTTTCACCCAGATCGTCGACCAATTGGGAGTGAGATTGGTAGACACTGACTGTTACGGAGTAATGATGGGTACAGGGAAGATGGAGAAAGGCCAGGGGATTTACAGAGAAGTGTGACTGACGATCTAGGGGATACAGGTGAGGGAAGACTTTCTTCCACTAGATCTTGGGAGCACAGACGTCAACTTGAGGATGAAATGGGTGCAAACTTTGGGAGACACCAAAGTGAATTGGGGAGCGCTCACGATGGAGTTGACGGTTGATGGAAGGAAGGTAGTGATTAAGGGAGATGTGGGGCCTCTCCAGGGGCTTTCCAAATCCCTGGTTTCTCTTAAAACGATGATGAGGGACATCCTGTTGATAGACGGAGGGTATTTGGTGGAGTTGCATAGTTTGGAGGGAGTGAGATTGGAGGAGGGAGGAGACATACCTCTATCCATTTAGCCATTGATTCAATAGTTCTAAGAGGTGTTTTAGCCACCTCAAGGATTGCCACCGTAGAGGGAGCAGGAGCATGCCATAATGTTGAAGGAGAGAGTGTCACCCATTAGTGTCCGGCCTTATCGTTACCCTCAGTTCCAGTAGGATGAAATAGAAAGGTTGATTAGAGAGATGCTGGAGGCAGAGATCATCAGACCCAACATCAGTCCTTTTTCTAGCCCCGTTTTATTGGTAAAAAAGAAGGATGACAGTTGGCATTTTTGTGTGGACTACAGAGCACTTAACAAGGAAACTGTACTTGACAAGTTTTCTATACCAGGCATTGATGAGTTGCTAGATGAATTGAGTGGGACCGTGATCTTCTGTAAGATAGACTTGAAATCGGGTTACGATCAGATCCAAATGAAGAAGTAGAATGTACCCAAGACGGCCTTTAGAACTCATGAAGGACATTATGAGTTCCTGGTGATGCCTTTTGGCCTCACCAATGCTCCCGCTACTTTCCAGGCCCTTATGAATAAGATTTTCAAACCTTATCTCAGACGATTTGTACTGGTATTCTTTGACGACATCCTAGTCTACAGCAGGACAAAAGAGGAGCATTGGGAGCATTTAAAGAGGGTGTTAGAAGTACTGCAGGAGCACTAGCTGAGAGCTAATTTGAAGAAATGCTGATTTACACAAGCTAGTGTAGAGTACTTGGGCCATGTGGTATCAAAAGGAGTGAAAGAAGATCAATCCAAAATTGAAGCAATGCTAAAGTGGCCAGTGCTGAAAAATCTGAAGGAGTTGAGATGATTCCTAGGACTGATGGGTTACTACATAAGGTTCGTTAAGGGGTACAGCTCCATAGCATGGTCACTCACTGAACATTTGAAGAAGGATGGATTCCTATGAGGGGAAGCAGTCACATCAGCATTTGAGAGCTTAAAGAAGGCGATGACTACAGTGCCGGTCCTAGCCTCGCCAGATTTCACTCAGACCTTCATTGTGGAGAAAGATGCTTCCGGGTATGGGCTGGGTGCAGTACTAATGCAGAGTCGTAGACCCATTGCCTATTTCAGCTAAGTATTAACTGCTAGAGCTCAACTGAAATCAGTTTACGAGAGAGAATTAATGGCCATCATTTTGGCCATCCAGAAGTGGCGACCCTACTTACTTGAGAGTCATTTCATTGTCAAGACTGATCAGCGAAGCTTGAAATACTTGCTGGAACAGCGGATGGTGACGGAAGAGCATCAAAGGTGGTTGTCCAAGTTGCTAGGATACGATTTTGAGATTCAGTATAGACCAGGGGTGGAGAACAAGGCGGCAGTTGCTTTGTCCAGATGTATGGGGGAGCTGCAGACGGTGGCACTATCCGTTCCTTTGATGTTTGACTAGGAGGCCATCAGGGAAGAAAGTGTTAGAAATGAAGAATTGAGAAAGATCAGGTCAAAATTGCTGAAAGAGGAGGGTAGCCATCCAGGGTACTCATTAGAGGGCGACAGACTGCTGTACCAGGGAAGATTTGTGATGCCCCGTACCTCGATTCACATCCCAAATTTACTCCAAGAATTTCATGGAAGCACAGTTAGGGGCCATTCAGGAGTGCAGAAGACCTACAAGAGACTAGCGGCCGAGCTTTACTGGAAGGGAATACATAGAGATGTAGAGGAGATGGTGGCAAGGTGTGAGATCTGTCAGAGAAACAAATATTTGGCTATGTCACTAGGGGGACTACTACAGCCGTTGGCGTTACCAGGACGAGTATGAGAGGAGATATCCATGGATTTCATAGATGAACTGCCCCATTCAGAAGGCTTTACAGTGATCTTTGTGATGGTGGATAGATTGAGCAAGTTTGCTCATTTCATCCCCCTCCGACATCCTTACACCGCGGTGACAGTGGCTTCAACATTCATTAGAGAAGTGGTCAGATAGAGATAAGGTGTTCCTCAGTCATTTTTGAAGAGAGTTGTTCAGGTTACAGGGGACAGTTCTGAAGAGAAGCACTGCTTACCACCCACAGAAAGATGGCCAAATGGAGGTGGTCAATAGGAGCCTGGAGACATACCTGAGATGCTTTGTGTTAGAGACACCCAAGATATGGGCCAAGTGGCTATCTTGGGTAGAGTACTGGTACAACACGTCTTTTCATTATGCTTCACATATGACCCCATTCAAGGTGTTGTATGAATAGGATCCCCAACACTTGGTACACTTTGGGAGTAGCAGTATCCTAGTGTCGTCAGTAGAGGAGTACTTAGAGGAAAGGGACCGAGTACTAGAGGAGTTGAAGAGGCATTTACTGAGAGCTTAACAAATTATGAAGAAACAAGTAGATGGGCATAGGAAGGACATCCAATTTGAAGTAGGGGAGAGGGTGTTCTTGAAGCTCCGACCATATAGACAGAAGAACAGTCTCCAACAGGAGGAACGAAAAGCTGGCTCCAAGGTATTTTGGGCCTTATGAAGTGTTGGAGAAGATTGGGTCAGTAGTGCATCGATTGAAATTACCACCAGCATCAACTATACATCCGGTTTTTCATGTCTTGCAGTTGAGGAAGGCCATTGGTGACTACACAACCAGTCCCGAGATACCAGCAACACTTACTGAGGATTTAGAGGTGATTCTGGAACCCTTAGAGCAGGAAGGGGTTCACCAAAACAAAGATGGAACTAAGGAGGTGTTGATCAAATGGAAGAACCTTCCGGATTACGAGGCCACGTGGGAGCCATATGAGAGGATAAAATAACAATTCCCTTGTTTTCACCTTGTGGACAAGGTGATTCTTTGGGAGGGCGGTATTGATATGTCGGCTCCCCAGGAATTGACTCAACCTCAGCCGGCCCAGGTGAGGCCGACACTTGTATACAAGAGGCAGGTCAAACCGCCTCCTTCCTACACCGCCTAAGGGAGGGGCCCACGCTCAATTTGTTTGGATTTAATTAATTAAAAAGATTTGATATCTTTTGAATTAATTAAATACTATCTTATATTAGGAAAATGGATTTAATTAGTTAAAAAGATTTGATATCTTTTGAATTAATTAAATACTATCTTATATTAGGAAGTTTTTAAGGAGGTGGAGAGGGTTATTTAAAGGGTATGAAGGGGTTAGGGCTAGGCATGCTTTGGTTATTGTCTTCTTGTAGTCTCGTTGGTGTTTTTGGGCTCTAGACTCTTGTCTAGAGATTTGGGAGAGACGATCCTCCTCTCGAATAGAGGATCAATTGTATATTTTCTTCTAGCTTATTTTGCTTTGAGTATTTAATCAAGTTATATTATTTTTTTTGTTGTTTCATCTCCGATCTTGAGTATTTTTACTGTTTTTACTAATTTCGCATTAGGGTTGCTTGTGAACTCAAGTAGATCTGATAGGATTACTTGCGAACTCAAGTACTTCCTATCATACTCTTGAGTACATAGTTGAGATTATTGATCCTCATCACATCATTGTTAGATTATCCTCTAATGCAATTTATATCAAATTTTACTTTAGATGTACCTATTATGTCTATTGCTTTTTGATGCAAGCGCTTAAATTGTCTTTCCATTTTGATGCATTCGTGGAACTCATACAAAACCTGTTTTGTTAGCTTTTCATTAGTTTTAATTGTATCCTTCGACATGAAGGAACAAGAGGGTATTCAAATATTCAATCCTTCCAACTTTCGCAATAGTTGTCACTCCTCTATCACTGTATTTGATTTTTTTTTGTATTTTTCTTTGTAATATAGCAATTCTTGATTATTTCCCTTGCCATAATCATCATTATCTTGTAATTTTATTGTGCTTTAAAAAATGAAAAAAAGGACTAAATGGAATTACATAAGCGAAAATATCTCCCAAGAAAAACTACTCACTAACTCTCAGAAAATTATGAATTAAAATGAGATATGAAAATGACATGCAAGGCACCCCAATTTATAGGCATAGATTCTTCCCTTTGAGGGATTTGCCTTGGCACCCACATAAACAAAATATGAATTAAATGACATCATTTCAAATATTCTCCAAAATTTTAAGTTGTAACAAAGTACTTATAAGAAATATTTCAAATGACCAAAAAAATGGACCTATGTGCACCTTAAAGTAAGTGATCATAATACAATCAAATACACACGATCACAATGCTCTATGTGCATTCTAATAATATGTTATTGCCTCACTATTCTCTCCATAGTGTGCCTCCTTTGTCGCATCTCTTATAGGTGAGCTTCTTCTTAGCGCAGCTTCTCACCTCTCCCAAGAATGGTTGTGTCAGGCCATCTTGGTTGTTTTGGTCACCTACGCCTTAGTGCATCAACTTTGTAGACCTAGCCTTATTTTTTCGTTCGTCATTATTATCATAAGATGGAGTACCTAACAATTTTGCTTGTTAATCATTTCTCGTTGATCATTTCACACCTTTTTGGGCATCACAAGATTTTCCTTGCATAGAATTGATGTTGCTAGTGTCTTTGCTTTCAGTGATTCTATTGGGCAACTTGTTCTATTGCTTGCATTCTCTCTCCACTCTCCTTTGATTTTAGCTCAACTCTATTTCCGATCTTTTTTTGCTTGAGACATCTCTTGATTAGATAGCAGCTAGTACTGCTTCTTATGTTGCTCTCACTCTTAGATTCTTGATAAAGTTGTTGTGTTTAAGGACTTTAGGCGTTCAACATTCTTCATCCAATAATTCTCCTTATTTTTTCAACAAGATTTAGTTCCATCTAAACATAAGCAAACATCTACATGTCATGGAAAAGTTGCTCTCATTTTCATTGATGATGGTATTTTGAGCTTGCTAGCCCACTCTCTTTTTCTATTGTGCACATTCTCATTGGGCTACACCAATTTGGAGATTATTTGCAAATTCATGAAATATATTTACTTGGTGATTTCTCCATTGGGCTCATGGTTCATTATAAGGCTTCTTTAGAAGCATATTGCACTAAAACCTTCTCTCTATGATCATATTTTATTTGTGACATGTGATGTGAATGCTTAAATGGTCTCCCTATTTTGAGTCTTGTAAGGAGCTATCTATCACTCATATTTGGGTTATAATTGTCGTTTTTATTTTCATTATGTCAACCAATCTTCTTTATATTTTTTAGTTCTGTTTTTTTATATGAGAATTTGACTCTTAACAAGATAACAGAGAAAAAGAATTTATGTAGCCAACATCACATAGTGTAATAAATGCTTGATGTTGTTGTTGTTGTCTATTTTTTAAAAACATTTACAAGTGTGCTGTTATGGATCGTTTATTTACAACATATGTGGCCAGAGCTTCTGTTGAATTGGGGAAATCAAACTTGAAAACGAGGTGTGGATCGGATCCTCATATTGTGTATATTGGCAAAATGAATAATTTATAGGCATCTCTTCTTATGTTCCTCCTGGAAAATCTTGGACACAATTATTCCAAATGCTTCAAGGCTCATCTAGAATTAAGGAAATTAAACTTACAAGATTAAGGGTCATATAAAAATGACAACATCCTACCTTTCACCACCATGGTTGTTGCTTCTCCATCAAATCTGGTTTGTACTCTGAATTTGGGACCAATTTTAGACTTCTTATGGAACTAGAGCTTGATGTGCCTGTGTTTGCAAGCCACATGAATATGGTCACCATATCACTTGCAAATACAACAATTGATCATCATCCTCCACTATATTAGTCTCCCTCTAATTATTAAAGATGTTAATGATCACATTTCACAAGAGTCCATATGATTCATTTATGTTTAGATTGTTGACATGCTCTGGTCAATATGAGGTTTTAAATCTTATTTGCTTAAGAATTATTTTTACTCCCCAATATTCACCAAGCTTTAAGTAAGACATTTAAATGGTTTTTTTAATGCATATCCAACAAGATTAGAGAGAGTCGCCTTAGTTGGTTTGGTTCTATAAAACGGCGGCCTTTTTATGACCAGGTTAGGAAAGTAGATGTATTAGATTTGACTTATTTTAAGAAAGGTAGAGCTAGACCTAAAAAGACTTGGTTAGAAAATATTAAAAACGATCTTCCTTTATTAGATTTAGGTGAGAATTTGGCTCTTAACAGGGCACAATGGAGAAAAAGGATTCTTGCAGCCAACACGACATAGTGGGATAAAGGCTTGTTATTGTTGTTGTTGCATATCCAACAAGCTTTCTGGTTTCTTTCTTTTTTTTAAATGGTTATTTTTTTAGTTTTCCTAATTTTCTTAAGGCTTTTTTATCCTTGGCAATCATGTTATCTTTATTTTGTCTTAAATAATATTATTTTTCAAGAAATGTTTTACAATTGTCCTTATTACTATATTATTTTTGGGTCATAAAATTATGCTTTAGTTAAAAAAAAGTCCTCACTACTAAAACTCCTGAAATAAATCCTAAGTATGCCACATCATCAAAGAAGTTAGCTGCAATTATCATGGTGAGTAGAGATTCCAAAGGTGCCTTTGATGGTCCATTATAAACCCAGGAACTTACATTTTTTGGGACACTTGTACCCTTTTTTTTAATGTTTTTGAGAAGAATGAATGATATAACAAAGATTATATTGCTTTAGTTCATGACTATGGAGAAATGATCTCCTTTTGACCATTGGCCCATGAACTATTTCACAAAGCTTGTGCACCTAGTACTCACCTTTTAAATTTTTAATATTAAAATATGAACCAATTATTATGTGGTGTTCTTTTATTTATTAATTAATTTATAAGTTCAATGTTTTTAGTTCAAGCAATTTATTGCAGATGAAGATAGGGATATAAAATTAGTAGATGCTCCTGTATCTGGTGGTGTCAAAAGGGCAGCAGAGGGAACACTTACGGTTAGAATTTACTGCACTGTAGATTTCATGTCAATTAGAACGAAAATATAATTATTTACCTCTCCATTAATTTTTTTATTTTTGGTGCATGTATGCCTCTGAACTTGAATGTTTTTTTAAAAAAATTAAATTAAATTCTGCCGAGAGATCCAAGCTGTTTTTTTATTACTTTCTTCTCACAGATAATGGCTTCAGGCACAGATGAAGCCCTTCACTTTGCCGGTTCGGTTCTTTCGGGTAATACTAGTATAGTTACCTGAAGGGTTGTGAAAAAGACTACTTCTATAACTGTTATTGAAATTATTCTCATCCTTTTGTCAGCATTAAGTGAGAAGCTCTATATACTGAAAGGGGGATGTGGTGCTGCGAGGTATTCAGTTTAACCCTGGGTTGGTAGTGTTTATTATTGGGCCTATTCTTGAATTTTTTTTCATATATTTATTGTGATCTCTAAACCTTTCATCTTGCTAGCATTTGGAGTGGTCAGAGTAAATTTTGCCAAATAGTGGAGTTTGTTAATTGAGAGGAATTTATACTGTTGTTTTTCTCCACAGTTCCATAAAAATGGTTAATCAATTGCTTGCCGGCGTTCATATAGTTGCAGCTGCTGAAGCAATGGCATTTGCAGCTCGATTAGGTTTGAAGACAAAAGTGTTGTTTGAAGTTCTTAAAAATGCTAGTGGTTATTCATGGTAAGTATACTGTCTTGTATTTTTCCTTATAAAGGTATCCGTTTTTCATAAACCATGTTGAACATCAAGGCTATTTTGATGATTTTTAAATAAATTTCTCTCTAAATATTTGTTTTGATCATGCCTATTTTTTATCTAATAATCTGCTAAAAGAGAATTTCATTTTTATTGTTTTTAATCTCTTTGTAACCTGATGGCTTTCCTCTCTGCTATAGATGGTATGCATGTGCATATTAAGCTTGTTTAATGTGTCACTTCCATTTTGAAAGCAGGATTTCTATGTAGTAAATCTCTAAATTTCATAATGCTCTATATATACTTTACGTTGATATTTCCTTGCAGGATGTTCGGTAATCGTGTACCACACATGTTAGAAAATGACTACACTCCATTATCAGCCGTTGATATCTTTGTCAAGGACCTTGTATGATTTTAAGTGTGGATTTATTTGGGGAATGAAGCATTACTCCTTGAAAAATAAACTGTTAATATTTATGGTATCTCTTCTTTTTTTGCTCTCAGGGTATTGTATCCTATGAAAGTTCCAAACTTAAGATATCTCATCTTATCTCAAGCATTGCATATCAAATATTTGTATCAGGTGAGAGAAAAATTGCTATTGTTTTATTCAACATAGCACTAACTTTTCGGTTTATTATTCCGTTGTTGTGTGTACTTCTTTTGTCCTTGAATGACAGTGAATTCAAGTTGGTTGTAATAATGTTGTGATGAAAATTTGAAATTGCGCGCTTATCGAAAGCATAGAAAGTGATAAGCACTATGAGTTTTACCATTGTATTTTGTTTTCTTTTAATGACTATTTGGTTGTATGCATTTAAAATACATGTAATTTAGAAATGTAAAGTAGAGGGAATGTGATGTATTTTGATTTGGATAAGCTGTTTGGTTGGATCTTAGTCAATGTGGTGATTTTTTTATTTGTTAGGATGCATTTCAAATATAATGAAAATAGTCTCCTCTCTCTCTCTTCTCTATAATGGCAAGGTCAAGGATGAGAAAAGCAGCAGAGTTAGGGTAACAATAGTGATTGGATCGGGCTTGCAAATTTTGAGCAACAAGTTTGGAGATGGTAGCAATGTTAATTAGCTCACAGTCGCAATATGATAGTGGAGGCATAAGTCGGGTCTTAGGTTGGCAACTACATGTTTGATATCATGGAAGATGGTAATGGCAACTAGATTGGTGGCGATAGGCTTGATGTTGTGGATGATAGGCATTGACATTGTCACGACCCAGCCCGGTTAGCTTGATTTAACAGGTCGGGAACTGACGGTCATACGATAGTCACAAAAACTTAATACTTTCATTTTACAATTATCATAAACAAGATAATCATCCATCTACAAAATATAGGAAAGAGCCACTAAACTTCCAATTCAAATATCTCTATTACATCAAAACATATAATCTCTCAAAACATAAAATGAAACACTACAGTATTCCATGACACATCAACTAACACATTACATAACATAACTATAAAAGAACATGTTTCCTTGAACTGTTCTACGCTGGTATGTAATAGGTCTATCCGGCATCAGTCCTTAACAGGTTCTCTTGAAAATCATTCCCACTAACAAGAATGAGCTAATGCTCAACAGGTAATAAATATTTCAATTAAATTCATAAGGCAAAGAAAGAAGAAATATTATGCCGTGAAATCTTCATATGACCAAACTGAGATAACTTTGAGGAAATGACGATGTATTATAATGTCAAAAATTGATCTTACTTGAGCATATTCCATATATCATTTTGAATGCCTGTTTTTCTTTAATCATAACATACAATCATAACTTCTCATATCATAACTTGTCATTTTTCAATTCTTTTGCTTAACTTCTTCCTTTCTTATTCTTATATGCATAGAAGTATATAATACTTAGTTTTAGTTTTATACACCCGTCTCGGAAGTACCAATATTTTTGTACTGATTTGGTACATAATCAAATTTGGCCAAACAAACATTTCATTTCATTTACTCCGAAAAGTCCTTTACCAATTGCTCCGAGAAGTCCTTTACCATTTTTGCTCCGAAGAATCATTTACTAGTTGATACTTTGTATCATCATGCACATTCAATCATTCAATGCTTATCATAGAAATTAAATCATTCATGAGTTCATATATGCTTGTCTGATAATGTTTCATGCTTGTCTAATATTGTTTCATGCTCAAATGTTCTCCTAAAATTTTACATGTTATAACTAAATAATTCTAAAAGGGAATACATGCGTGTTGCAGTATGAATTCTAAATAATTAACATAAAACTTTTAACAACAACAACAACAACAACATCAAGCCTTTATCCCACTACGTGGGGTCTGTTGACGAATATTTTCGTATCAAACCGACCCCGATCGAGCCCAACTAGACTCGATCGTGCTCGATCGACCCAATCGAATGTCGTCGAGACGAAATTGACTCAAATCGAACCCCGATTTAATTAAATTGAATCAAATTAATTTAATTTAAATCAAATCAATCCAATTCAAACCCTGTCGAGCACCGGGTCATCGCAAGGCCGCCGTTTTATGTGACCAAACCATCTAAGGCGACTTTCTCTACTAATCTTATCTTCTACTGGAGCTACTCCAACCTTTTCACGTATATGCCCATAAAACTTTTAACTAAAATAAAATATTAAAGCATATGAAATTTTAGCATTTAAAGAGAAACTTCGAACTTAAAAGAGGTATGAATAACTACCTCAAAAGCACAATAGACTTCAACGACGCCGCTTACGCTCGAGGCGTCCCTTTATAATCGACACCTAAGTTTAAGTGAAGCAGCAAAACACTAATACAATTTCTTTAATCATGATACCTTCTATAATTTTATTAAATAAATAAATAACTCTTTATTTTTGGATTTAATAAATCCTTAACATTTAAACATTCCTACTTTTATTTACATCCATAATCTATTCAATTTGAACCCTCAACAATTCCTAATTCAATTTAAAATTTATTTAATTTTCGGATTTATTCAAAATCCCTAATTTTTGTAGCATGATTTTCATTATTTTCAGTTCAATTGCATTTCAAAACTTCCCCATTATGCATTTAATAATTAGGATTTCTATTTTCAGATTTATTTAATTTAAAAATTCTGAAAATAATTTTTTTTTTCGAAAAATCATAATTCCTACCATTAAAAACCTCCCTAAGGTCCTTAATTCCTACCATTATACCAAGTCTTTTTGAGATCCTCGAATAAGATTTTTTGTAATAAGCTTAGGACATGTGATCGATATACTCCAACTTGAGGGTGAGTATTAGAATCATAAAAAAATAGGTTAGTTGTATTTATATACTATTATCGTACTTGATGTCATTAGGTGACAATTGAGAGTTTTTCTTTGTAGAAATCTGCTTACTTTGGAGAAAATACAACATAGCATATTTATTTCTTTTCGGTTATAATTTGTATATTAGCGCGAGTAAAACTGGCATACTTCAAGAATTGTTGCCTTGATGCAAATTTCTAACTAATGACTTATTTGTGGACATAATTTTTATTTGCTTAATTATCAGCTTCTGCTTCTGGTTGGGGTCGATATGATGATGCTGCAGTAGTAAAGGTATGATCCTCTATGCACTCCTATCAGTTTTCTTTCCGAGTTTATTTTTCTAGATTTGCTTATGTATTCTCGTTGATGTTAATGAAGTTTTGTTATTCATCTTTATGATCTCTCCGATGTGTATATGATGTTTGTTCTAATGTCTGAACAGGGGTATCATCATAATCGTCTGCACCCTTTTCATCATAATTTCTTTGCATAGTACATAACAAGTAGTGAGTGAAGAAATTTATTTATTTATTTTCCTTCTCTTTTAATCGGTGCAGAAGAGGTTTGTTATGATTATTGTTTTCCAGGGAAAGCTTGCTAAACCATATGCACCTCATGTTTCTTTGTCTAAATTCATTTGAACTTTTACAGTTGTCCATCCGCTTTTCATTTTTAATTTTAATTTTTGGCTTGAATGATATGGCAATTCCCGCATTGAAATATACATGTTTTAAGATTATGTTGCATAATAGGCTCAAGGACATGGCTAGGTTGGAGGCTAGTAAAGTTTGTTCCATAACCATGGTAGGTTGCTTTTAAATCATAACTTCGGTGCCTATCGTGGTTTACCCTATACCCTAAATATGCAATGGAAAGGAGTATGATGCAAGCATAATAGTCATCCAAAAACAAGAATGAAATTTTTTACTATCACATAAGACATGCGAGTGAATAATTTGAAGATTTATTTGGGCTTAGAGTAGCAATATAACAATTGATATATATATATATATATATATATATATATATACGAGGGCTTCGTGCGAGAGCGAGGTGAGTTCCGTTTTCCAATTTTAGCAAAAGATTTCCTTCGAGGATAAGAATGAATCATTCATTTTCATTCTTATCGTTATAGAAGTGCTAAATTGGGAGGAATTTCAAGAACGAGAGAAACGACCGAGGAAAGAAAAGGAAAAAGGTTGTTGGATTTTTCTTACGGATTTTTGTATAAATTTTATTCTTTTACTTTGTTTAAAGTGAGCGATATGTTTCTTGAAGGATAAGGAAGAGATTGAAATGAAGAAAAAGGAATTTGCGAGAGGAAGGATTTTGAGAGTTTGAGAAGTTCCCATTCGTAATTGTAAGTGAATCTTCTTATAAAGTTTTTATTGTTATTTTGTTATTGAATCAAAATATTATTTTTATATGAAAGTTATTGTATGAATTTAGAGTTTTAGGAAGGGAGAAATCAAGTCGTAAGAGTTGATCCCGCGAGAATTCAACAAGGAAGGAAATTGATTCAAGGTTATATCAAGCATCGAAGGCCTAAAAAGTTCAAAGTGGGTAAATTATATTATTTTATGATTTTATTCATGGTTGCAATCTTCTAAGTAATTGATTAATTTTTTTATTATAAAATGTTGAAGGTATAAATATCTTATGATTTTATAGTCTTAAGAACAAATTCATCCGCTATAAAGGTTTGAAAGTTTATGAAAATGAAAGGTAATATTTATAGAGATACATGTAAGATATGCTTTATGTAATGGTAACAATAAGGATGAAAATGAGAATTTAAAAGGGAAAATTGAAAAAAGGGAAGCAAAAAGTTATATATGCATGGATATAATACATACAATGTAAAAAGGAAAAGGTATTGAAAACTACAGGAGTTCACCCCCTTATGGTACTGGCTGGGGATGCCATACTCGTGCACGTAAAAAGGAAAATGTCATGGAAATGGAAAAAGAAATAAATGAAAAAGGTTTTACCTTTGGGTACTTTGAGATGGTACTCCTATGCAAATCAAATGGGAAAAGGAAATATAAATGAAATATTAAAGTTTTAAATTGTTTTAAAAGAAAATGTCCGGAGATGTATAAATTATTGAAAATAATGAATTAATATTAAGAAATGTTATGATGCCTATTAAAGAATAATTATAATGATTATTTTAATAATTACTCACTGAGTTTACTTAATAAACTCAATCCACGAATTTAAATGTTTCAGGTAAGTCCCCAAAAGAAAAGAGATGGCTGAAAGAGAAGATTTCGTTTATAGAAGACAACGTGCAAATGACAACAGGTAATTTACATTTTGTGTTTTAGTGGCTCTTCAATACAAATGAAGAAGTGGTATAATGTTTAATGAATTTTATCATCCAATTTTTCGTACCCGTCTCGTTAGATCGAGCATCCGGGCCGGGTCATGACAAAAGAATAATGAATACTAAACTACTTCAACAAAAGCACACTGATGTGAGGTCGAAGAAACATGTCCAACGACATGTTGGTAATTCTCTTGTTATATAATTCATGTATATTTCAACGGTTATGATGCGAGGTAGAAGAAACATGTATATTTCAATTATAATTCATACTATATTTTCAATAATTGATGTGTTCGTTTCACCGTGTTCGTGTCTGTGCATCATAGCTCATACGTCATGCATTCACAAAATAGATTGCATCGATGCACCCGTAACGTCAAATTTACCAAAGAAGAACTAATCGTGTGCAATTCGATTAAAAATGACGATCTGTGAACTAGACGTGTGAAGTCCCCCGAACATCGTTCATTTGAGAAACGGGCTTTGCCAACCCATCAGAATGTTGAAAATACCCAAAAAAGAGACTCATATTGCAATTGTTGTCATGCAAGTTGAAGTGTAAATTTTGCTCATGTGCATCATGACACACGAGGAACTAGAAATTGTGTGATGGTCAATTCACATCTTTTTGTCCTTTTTTATTTAAAAAAAAAAAACTCAAAACTATACACACACATATTCATATATAATTAAAATAAAAAAATATATCTTTTATGGCTATCTAATCCCCATCAGATGCAGCAGCCCACTTTAATATATATATATATATATATATATATATATGTATATATACATATGTATGTATATGTATATATATATGTATGTATGTAATGGTTACTGTATACATATGGCATATCCATTGAAATATTACGAGTTTAATCCATGTAAACCTCTATATTTTGACATTACAATCTACCCGTTGTTGTTCTTATCCAATGAGTTCTAACTTCTACCCTTTTGTTTTTAGTGATGGGAGTGTTAAGTTTAAAGTTATCCTTCAAATCAACTGACCTTTTATGCTTTTAGATTCATTGTCACTTTATGCATGCTGCTGAATTTTTAATCCTCTTAACATTAATTTTCTTCTTATGTTTGATAATGTCTCAGGTTTATGAAACACTAACAGGAGTTAAAGTTGAAGGCAGAATATCTCCTGTTAGCAAAGATGATCTACGTAGGCTTCTTCCTTCAGAATGGCCAGAGGATCCAACTGAAGATCTTATTGCAGCGCAATTACAAAGTAGTTCACAAGTTTTAGTAGTTTTGGATGATGATCCTACCGGTACTCAAACTGTTCATGATATTGAAGTTCTGACAGAATGGTAATTGACCCAACCTTTTAGTTTATATATTGTGATAGTATATCATTTACCATACAATACTGGTGCAATGCAATATACTTAAATCTTACTAATTAATATTAATTATGTCTTATTTTTATCAAAATGCGTATTCATTTTTTTTAATGCAGTTTTTTTTATTCTCTAATTGGTAAAATGATCCTTTGTCATTTAGAATTTATTTGGATTTTTTCATATTTGTTTAGGATTGTTTAGTCATTTTAAATAAGGCCTATTCCTATAAATAGACCAAGTGTCTTGTAATTTAGGCTTCGTTTGGGACGACTTTCAATTAGTATAAAAATTTTAATTGAAGAGAAAGAAAGTCGTCCCAAGAAGAGAAAGAAAGTCGTCCCAAACGAAGCCGTAGTCATAATTGAAGATGGAATAAACAAGAGTTTTCTTTTAGCTTCCCCCCTTAGAATTCATTCTCTTGTAGGATTTTCCTCATGCTTATTACTGTCACCTCCTGATTTCTCCTCCATTTTCTCTCCTTTTCTGGTCCCCCCTTCTGCTATAGAACTACGTTATGTACTCTCTCTCATTAAAATGGCTCATGTATTATCTGCTGTAAGCTGTGTTTTAAACTAAATTACTTGTTAATTAAAATGAACAAAACATTCATTTAACCACAAAGCAGTTTCTTACTTACCACTGCGAGGCACATATTGTCAATGATGCTAGTGAATTATTACATATGCAGGGGTGTTGATACGCTGGCAAAGCAATTCAGCCAGAAACCTAAATGTTTCTTTATTTTAACCAACTCTCGTTCTCTTAGCACTGAAAAGGTAGAGAATTCCTTTTAGTTAAAATTTCCTGTTTCAGATTATCCTCTTCTGTCTGTTTTACGGAGTATTTATAATATTCCCCAGATTATTAGTTATGAATTCCAAGTATTTTGCTTGTTTAAGAGTAGATGTTGTTGATAATTTTCAGGCTGTCTCATTGACCAAAGAAATCTGTAAGAATGTTGATACTGCCTCTAAAACAATTGAAGGTATAAATTATACAGTAGTTCTTAGAGGCGATTCTACCCTCCGAGGTCACTTTCCTGAGGCGAGTACACCATCATTTTATGGCCTGCTTTTGCCTATTTGATCAATCTCTCTTGAAAGTTTTGATCTATCTTATTTTTGGAACTGAGAATTGATTCCTACAGGAAGCAGATGCTGCAGTTTCAGTGTTAGGTGAAATGGATGCATGGATCATCTGTCCTTTCTTCCTTCAAGGAGGGCGATACACCATTGATGATATCCACTATGTTGCCGATTCTGAAAGGTTAACAGTAAATCTTAAATCTTCATACAGAGAGAACTTCATTGTGATGTGAATATTGAAATTGTCAACGGGTATTTGCCACCATAGGCTTGTTCCTGCTGGGGAAACAGAGTTTTCTAAAGATGCTTCTTTTGGCTACAAATCATCTGACCTCAAAGAGGTATTAGCTTTCTTTCTTCCTATTTTAGAGGTTTTTAAACGCTACAAGGAGTGAGGAGGCTTATATTTTAGAATTTTACTTAGTGGGTTGAAGAGAAAACAAAGGGGAGAGTTCCAGCCAGTAGTGTTGCGTCTGTTTCAATTGATCTGCTCCGCAAGGTTGGGCCAGATGGTGTTTGCAACTATCTCTGTAGCCTGAAGAAGGTAATAATAGTTATTGCTTAATCTCTATATGACCATCAGATTTCATCTAATTGTTTTTTCATATATATGATGGTACATTTTTATTTGTTTTTTTAACCTGCTTAACACGTGATGAAAGCAAAAAATTTGCATTTTATTTTTCATTGGGTATTTGAATCATTTTATAACTTTTGGACATCAAAGTCATTTTTAACCAATTTTTTGTCTGGCTTGTTTAAGCACATAATATAGTTAGTTTATTATTGATAATTATACTGCCTGAATGTGGATTGTCGGGCTGGAATTATAAGTGGAAGCATAAGTTATATTAAAGAAACTGGGAAACTTGAAACTCTTCTAGAATGCAATGTCTTTTATTTAAGCGTGAGGCTTGAGGTTATTTTTCTGAACTTTACTTTTGTTTTATCCATCTTTTCATAATTTTCATGCTCTTTGTTATTGACTTCTTTGATTAGGAGTTTCAAATTGTGTAAAAAAATCAGGTTCAACTATAAAATGTCCAATCAACCTAATGTTTATTACAAGCTTTAAAATTGCAAGATTGGATTTTTTATTCATAAAGTGAGGCATAAACCTCAAGGCATTCTGAGGTGTAAGTCTCAAAATCCAAATTTTGTGTAACTTGAAAATAAATGTTAAAAGTAAATTTTTATATAATACTCAAATAATATGTTAAAGAATGACATATTAATTTTCTCTTGAATTATGAAGTAAAACAAATTAACATACATATAAAATAAAAAATTACACAAGACGTAAAGTGGCAAGTGATAAATTATGTGAAATAGAATTGAAATCCAAATATTACAAGAGCATAACAACATAAAATATGAGAATTGCATAAAAATATCATATAAAATCAAGTTTAACTCCAAATTTCTTCTTTCTCTAATCCTTACTCATCCATATTTAATTCCTAAAGAAAGCTGAAATAATTTGCAACAACTCAAAAATCATTTACACTGTCATCACTAAGTTGGTCTTTATTTGAGTCATAGTCCTATTAAATTGGTCTATCCCCTATTTGATTTTGTGGAGTCAAATGCCTCCCAATATATTGTTGACTTCCACACATCTACAAATCAGTGCGAGCAAAGGCGACGATCGACGAGCTCAACTTTTTGCAAACGCGACACTTCACTTAAGTGCTCAAATGGCTTTTGATCGTCGAATGGATCACACTATTGCAATGAGAGCATCGAATTTAGCCAAAGGGGGGTCCCTCACTATCAAATTAAGTGAAGACGTTCAAAATTGACTGTTTATTAACGTTATGTTGCACAACATTGCCAAACAGTGTCTGTTCATGAAACAGATTTCGTCGTTGTGTCCATAACGTCGAAAAAACCTAAGAATGATTGTAAAATTTTTTGGGCCATCTTGCACAAGCAAAATTGTGAAATCGACATGAATTTCATGGTGATGCATGCGAATCGAGACGCACGAGGAATGTGGGAGTGCAATGATCAATTTATATCAATTTAAAATAATTTATAATAATAATAAGATATTAATTATAATTATATTATTATATAATTATATGTTTAAAATATCATATCCTATTATCAATATTGTACAAAATCCTTTTCAAATCTCTGCAATTCGGCCACCCATTCCCTATACATGTGGCGCTGAACCGCCTCTTCCCACACTCTCCTATTTCCCGTGTGCACTCCCGTTCTCATTAATAAAATGAGAATGAAAACGAGCTCTCGGTTCTTCTTCCTCATGCAAAACCACTCCTCTCTGAACTCTCTTCCGTCTGCCTCTTGTTCACGTTTCTTCACGTGCTGTTTGGTTGAACTCTCCAGTACTATCCTCCATCTCCCAGTCGAACACTCTCTGTTGTTGTGAGAAGTCAATGTACACTCTCTGCTTTCTCTCTCTAATCTTCCTCGCATTCAAGCTCTTACCCGACTCACAACCCATCCGACCCAATCCTACCATTTGACGATCTTGACTTGCTCGCGTATTTCATTCGACCTTGCCTCTGCCAACCGCACTTCACTCCACCCGATCTCTTCCTCCTGGCCTGACCTCCTTATAGGCCGAAGCCACACCCCTGCTTTATTATTGGAAAATGTTAGTTGCTTCATTTATTTATGGTGTTATATCTGATTGTCATTTGCGTCTTTAGACATCATCTTTCAACAGCAACTGCCCCATTCGATAGAAAAGACTATGTGTAGAAAGCATAAAAAATAGAATTTCGATAAAGGTTGGTAAACTTGGGTTATTTTGGTTCAACTTTCAGTAGAAAATTATTGAATCTAGTATTTTTAAGGGTTATGCCTATCTGTGCTCTAAATTTGAATCCTCATGCTTGGGCAATGTATTATTAATGGAAGTTATTCAACAAAATGGTGAAAATATTTAAGGAATTAGAAGAAAATACTATATGTGATGTGAAACATTAAAGGAATGGAAAGAATTTAATAAAAAGTTGTTAAGCTTGCTATTTTTAAAATTAATGTTTCACAAGATTAGATTCTAGAATTTCTTAGTTCTTGTTTTGCTTTAGCATGCTGTTGCTAGTGAGATTAGAAGGCCAATTAAAAATAACAACAAGGTAATAGTAAAGCTAAATGCATAAGTAAAAAAAATATACCGTTTAACAAATAGAAATTTCACCTTGAGTTCCCCTCATTTTCACTCTTGAAGTTGTTTTAACGGGAGAATAATTTCAGCAAACTAAAAGATATCACCAAAGACGCCTATAGTATAGCCCAAGGATAACCTTGCCGGAGGGGAAGAAGTTGGTGGATGTTGAATAACCACCACTGTCCAAAGATTTTGTGCTCGTGGATGGTGATCGTCAAAGTGAAAAGAATTCGGTCGACGTAGTCGTCGACGGTGTGGTTGATCTCCAAGCTGAGGTTGAAGAAGGGAGACCGGAGAATATCTACTCATCCTTGAAGATCATACACGAATCCATGATCGTGCTCGGGATCGACCATTCATGAAAAGGGAGGCCAAGGGGATTGGTTGTCTTCTTCTTTGACGATGTAACAAGCATGAGAGGGGAGGTGTAGGGGAGAGGGGAGAGCCTTGGGGTGGTCAGCCGAAACTTGAAAAAGGCTAAGTTAATTTCAGATTTCTGAAATTAAAAGTGGGTGATTGATTCGAGAGATTAATTGTAGAAAACATAATGGGAAAGACAGGAGAGGTTTGGGTGGAGGGAGGGAGTTTTGGCCGGAATTTGAAAGGGGAATGTGGGTTGTCGGTGGTATAGGGAGGAGGAAGGGGAAATAAGAAATAGAACGGACATGAACCGCGAGCCTAACCTTTATCGGCGGCTGACCAGTATTGCTTGGCCCTCTCCTAGGGTTCTCTCTTCTCTCAAGAGCTCACAATAAAGAAAAGGAACAAGTGCTGAAATTTTATTAATCAATCATTAACCTCATACTATAGTGAATACCTTTACATATAGGTCTTAAAATAAAAAAAAGAGATGCAAAGACTAAAATGCCCTATGGGCTACAACACAAGCTAATCCCTCTCAAGGGTACAATGGTAAAAACTAAAACATAAATTATCACGACCTGGCCCGGAGCTCGATTTAACGAGACGGGAACTAAAAGTTTGACAGTAGGATCAAAACATTTCAATTCATAAGCAAATACAACATAATTTTTTTTCTCCATTCAATTCAAGAGCCACTAACATAAATTTTCTCTAATATAACATCTATATTAAATCATAAATTACTTATTGCCATTTGCACGCTGTCTTCTATAGACGAGCTCTTTTCTTTCGACCATTTCTTAGAACTTTGGAATCTTACCTGAAAACATTTATTTAATGGAATGAGTTTACAGAGTAAACTCAGTGGGTAACCATTGAAAATCATAAAATAGTTAAATAGATTTATTAATATAATACATACAGCTTTCTTTCTCTTAATATCAAATCGATACACATATTTTTTTGGCATTTTAAATTTTATCACACATAAGACCTTTTTCTTGGTATACAGTCATAGCTATCCATTTCTATTTTGGCATTTCTTTTAAAAGGTTTAACGTTCAATTCCTTAGTATATCCATTTCACCATTTCTATTTATATAGTAGCACCGTCTAAATGTACCAATTGAGGTACAATCATTTCCTTTTCCTTTTCACTTTTAATGTGCACGGGTACGTAGCTTCCCCAGCCAGTACTATGCAAGGGTAAACTCCTGTAATTTGCAATGCATTTTCCTTTTCACTTTTACATTTGTTTTATTTCTACACATATATATGACTTTTGTCTTTCATTTTGATTTTTCATTTTCCCCTTTTCATTTTATCATCATATTGCATCTCTTACATACTATAGTCAATATCTTTCACTTTAATAAAACTTTTAAACGTTTACAATAAATGAAATTTATTAAAAGACTTTAAAATCATGAGATATCTATATTCTCAACATTCGTAATCTATGCAATTAATCAAATATTTAAAAGATTGTATGCATAAAATAAAAATCATGAAATTACATAATTTACCCACTTTGATTCTCCTCTTCCAATATTTGTCTTGTATTGAGAACTGTTCACCATAAAATAATAATTAATTTATATTAAATTCAAATTTGAATGCCTCAACAATAATTGATTCCTTCTATAACATTAACTCACAGTAGTTTTCTCTTCCTTCCTTAAAATTTCCTTCTCTATTGAATTATTAAACCAATGCTTGCTTTAATTGAATCCTTCCTACAATAATGATTTCTTCAATTAGAAAATAAGAATATAAATTCATATCTAAATCAAAATTAATTAATAATTCATTTGCTCCTTATTCTGCTTTTGGAAGAAAAGGATTCCCGAATTATTTCCTCATTCTTTCCAAATATTTTCCTTCCTGCTTTCAATCTCTACCCTCGTCTTCAAGTAATATTTTCCATTGATTAGATGAAGAAATAGAGAAGGATTTATACAGAGAAAAAACTAAATAAAATAACAAACCTTCGCTCATTTTCCTCTCAGCCGTTCCTCTCGACAGAATTTTCTTCT